GGATGAAGTCATTCAGGTGTGTGATGTGTTTACTTTGTTATTACTGATTGTAACAAGTGTACAATGAGCCCAATCACTGAGATCTTCTATAAGCTGTCAAGGCACATTACACTTTTTGCAAACAAATAAACCTACATCACAAAAAAAATATTCTTATTTTTTTTTTTTTTGCATTGGTGAAAGCATTGCAACTGTGATCAGTGGATCAGTAGATCAATGGATTAGTAATCGGTGGATCTGTAGGTGAGTAGATCAGTGGCTGAGTAGATCAATGGAATAGTAATCCATGGATCTGTAGATCAATGGAATAGTAATCCATGGATCTGTAGATCAGTGGCTGAGTAGATCAGTGGATCATTAGATCAATGGATTAGTAGATCGTGGATCATTGGAACAATGGATTAGTAGATCGTGGATCATTGGAACAATGGATTAGTAGGTCAGTGGATCATTGGAACAATGGATTAGTAGGTCAGTGGATCATTGGAACAATGGATTAGTAGGTCAGTGGATCATTGGAACAATGGATTAGTAGGTCAGTGGATCATTGGAACAATGGATTAGTAGGTCAGTAGATAAATAGGTGAGTAGATCAGTGGGTCATTAGAACCATGGATTAGTAGATCAGTGGGTCATTAGAATAATGGATTAGTAGGTCAGTGGATCATTAGAACAAAGAATTTAGTAGATCAGTGGATTTGTAGATGAGTAGGTCAATGGATGGGTAGGACAGTGGATCATTGGAGCAATGGATTAGTAGATCAGTGGATCTGTAGATAAATAGGCCAGTGGGTCTGGGGTGCAATGCTCAGGCTCTGCCTCCAACCCCAGGTCCATATCGAGGTACAGTTCTTCTGTTATGGGGTTGGAGGAGGTTATCAATAGACTACAAAGTGGGCAGACATCACCACACTTTGACTCCATTGAGATCTGAGAGTCTCTTTGCACATCGCACTGTTTCGTTTTTTTGTTAGAACTTTATTGAAGTGTCACCAGTGACATTTTATTGAGTTCTGTCAGCAAAGCATGGTGCGCTGTGGTTGTACCGTGTTACACCGGGCTGCGCTGAAACAAATGACTGCATACTGTACTACCACAACATGGTGGTGTGAACTGAGCACATTGCTTTGTCTGTGCATTGGGGATACACTGCCCCCTTTTTCCGACACATTCGGTGTAAATGGGCCCTTAATGTATTTGTACACACAATCACTAAAAATCTCACATAAAATTTAATACGATTATGTCTTTTCAAAAGCCGAGATTTTTTTGAACTCTGCATCGTTTATTAAAATAATACCTGGTGATCCTGGCATGTGGGTCCTTGTTCAGGCACTTCCCATTATAGAGTGACAATGCTCTGTGAGTCTCTTGTGATGTCACACAGGCTTCAAGTGGTGACTACAAGTTCCTTTTTCAACACACATTCCACAGGCACGGTTTACCGTTGTCACCATCAGAAAAACCTGACCTGAGAAATGGCAGGACAGGAAGTGGCTACAAAGCGGCTGCATTAGGCCACTAGTACTGAGATGGAAACAAGTGTCTTACTTAAACAAAAATGGTAATTGTTTATGACACACCCTGAAATTCATAAAGAGTGGTGCAGACATACTAGGCCCGGAAGCTGCTGGCATCCTACCAACCAATAACTTTGTGCAGCCAAGTATCAATCGGTAGCCTCGGGGCCATCAGCGTCCTGGCAACCAACAACATAATATGGGAGATGAATTCCTCCTCTGACACAGATTGCATTATTGTCACCAGTTTTCTTATCTCCCGTACAGGGATATTTCTTTATGAATTTGCTGCAGCCATTGCATCATTATGTAAAAGTGCCTCTACTGGGAATTACCTGAATTTGTCGCATGTGTCAGTACTGACATTAGAAATGAATTTGGCGTGGGAAATTCCTAGAATCTAGATAATATCAATGCCAGAGAAGTCTCTAAAATTCTATGAATCACCCCCACAATGCTTTAGCAAATGGGTGTTCAGTAAGCCCTTGTTCACCTCTATGATGCAACATTGTTTAATGCGCTTGTGCGTTGCCGTAGGACAGCCAGGGCTGCCCCTAAGGTATTTGCGGCCTGAGGCGATGAGCTATCGTTCCAAGGAGGGGGGG